TAAAAATTCTTGTAGAATCGGTAGCTCTCGGGAATTTTTGAGTGACTCAATATAGTCGTAATAGGAATCAAAGTCCAATTTTTGGGATAAGATGTGGACTACCATCGGATCCCACGTACTTATATCAATATCCAAATTACGAATAGCATTAAGGCATTCTAATGTTGTATCATGTATTTTCTTAATTTGTGGCAATGATTGCTGTTGCATGTTAGGAAGGCTTAAGATTGTATTTAAGTGGGCAGAGAATATTGCCCTTTTATTGTTGTATCGGTGTTGCAGAATGTCCCAACATACAGAATAATTATCCGAGCTTATAGATAAATGTTGGATTAACCGTTCGGCTTCGCCTTTGACCTTGCCCTTTAAAAATTGCATTTTTTGGGCATTCGAAAGCGCAGGATTATTGTGTATGGCTTCTTGAAACAAATCTTTGAAGGACATCCATTGGTTGAAATTGCCGTGAAAAGTAGGTATTTCTAGTTTAGGGGTAGACTTCTCCCTATGAACTACAGACCACATTTTAGTATTAATTGCCTTTTTTAAAGTGTTGAATTGCTTTTCGTGAGATAAATAACTTTCTTCGTATTCTTCGTTTTGATCAATTAATTCAGAATCAATTTCCCAGTGAAGAGAATCTATTGTAGACCACCTAGTTTGCAATGTTTTAAGAATATCTTCAAATTCCCATTTGTCCGAAATATGCTCTAAATTAATGTTTGAGACAGTTCTAGAAAAAGCTTTAAAATTAGCTGCCTGCTTACGCAGTAAATCGTTTAATTTGTTATTTGTGCCTTGATTCACCTGCCATGCGGGACGATTTGTTAAGCTAAATGCTTTTGTTTTATGTTCTTCTCTCGACTGCTGTTCTGTTGATAACTGCTCCGTCTCCGACTTCATTTCTAACGACATACTCTCGGTAGGCTGCTCGTGACCTCCACTGCCAGACGGAGCTTCCAGCAACTGTTGTTGCATCTCATTGATTAATGTTCTCACAGCTTTATACGATTTTAAAGTCTTCTCAAATTCTTGTTTTGTAAAATAAGCATGCGTCGAGCTTATTTCCGTAGTAAGGCGATCATGATTGTACTGGAATTCTTTCCAGTAATCATCTAAATTATTTAAACATCTTTTAAGATATTCAAATGTTCGTCTTTGTTGAGTTGTTTTCTTTAGATTAATACCGATTTTTTCAATGTTAATGGCGAGAGCTAATTGAGAATCGTATAACTCAGCCATGTTTTTAAGTTAACTGCGTAAGTCTTCCAAAGCAAGAGTTAATAATGGAAAGATCTTACTTGTTTGCTGTTATACCACCGTCAGGATTCCGATGGCCAAGGAACGAGCACCAGCGCTGGACATCACTTTAGTCCTCACAATACGCACTTACAAAGTTCACACCACACTCGCGTTCACTTTCGGCTCGCGAGAGATCCGGCTCGAAGGACCATTATGTACGGGGTGTAAGGTCGTAGGTAGATATCAAACGCATAAGTGACCGTAAAAGTTTATTGTTCAAATGGAGTTCAAAGCACTTTCTTAATGTTAATGTTTAATGTTAAAAAAATGTTAGAAATGTTAATGTTTTGTTATATGATGAATGCACCCGTTCTGTTCGCGATCGACAAGTACACTAACGTGTCGTATGTTCATGTTAGGACAATACATGAAAACTGCTTCGCAAGCAGGTGTTCGGGTTTACACCGAACAAATGTCTTTTGTATTTTTACTAGGTTCGATCAATTTACTTTAGATTTTTGTGAGTTGACCTAGTCTAACAGAGGGTCTAGTGCGAGTTGGTCTTACGTCAACGCGATCCAAGCGTGTATGTCTCTGATTGGTGCTACAAGTACTAGCTAATGGATCGCGGTGTCGCGAGAACATCCCGCCCTCGGCCCCCTATAGCCGCGCTGTCTCGCCGCCAGATGTACCACCGCAAGCGGCACTCGGGCGCGCGCTCGTACGTGTGCGAGGTGTGCTCGCGCGTGTTCCCGGCCGCGTGCAAGCTGCGTGCACACGCGCGCACGCACGCTGCACGCTACGTGCTGCGCTACGAGTGCCCCGTGTGTGCGCACATGTTCAACACTCGCTACCACGTGCACATGCACCTCGCCACGCACCAGCGCGAGGGCCTGGTGGCGCCGCACCAGCGCGCACAACTCCTCGCCATGGTCCTCCACAACGCGCGCAAGATCCCCCAACATGGCGCCCCCGCACTCTCCGCCTCCGTGTCCGCCGACGAGAGGTCCCGCGTCTGCAACATCTGCGGGGAAGTCTTCCAACACTTCTACTACTTGGAGGAACATCTCAAGAGCCACGGCTCCCGCATCGCGTTAGAGGACTTCGACCGACCCGAGGACAAGAAGTACGTCTGTCCGGTCTGCAACAAGGGATTCAAACTGCACTACTATCTGAAACTGCACAGCTTCACGCACTCGAAGGAGAAGCCGTTCATATGTCAGCAATGCGGGAAGGGGTTCATAACTAAAGGTAAATTAAAGAGGCACCTGGAGACTCACACGGGGCTGAAGAAGTATCAGTGCCACATCTGCTGCAAGTTCTTCACTCGGCCGAGCTACTTGCGCATACACATCCGCACTATCCACGGCACTCAGGACTATAACTTCAGACTGGACAAGGCGTACTCGCTGGACTCTCTGGCCACACTGCCCCTGTCCACTCCCACTGTCTCGTGATGCGTGATGCGTGATGCAGTGCTTGTATGTACGTGTCATTCGGTGACGGGACGATGTACTTCTGTTGATACCGCTGCAGGCGGACGTTGTTGACAAACTGATTACATTCATTCATTTTCTACGACGCTTGTTTCATTCAAATGTCTACCGTAAGTCGTGTGTAGCATGACGTATTTTACAACGTCACGCTTATGACGCTATGACCTATATTCAATTCGGACCAGTAAAACGGTTCATGCAAAAGTAGTCTCTAACCATCGGAAATAAGGTCTATAATGGAGTGAGGCCGTCACAACGTGCGACCAATGTCGGTCGTACGTTCATGGCGCCAGAACTTCCGCGGAGGTACACGCGGCGGCGCGTCCGGCTGCACTACACTAGTATTATCTTTTGGTTCATGGGATGAGCCGGCAAACGAGCAGACGGATCACCTGATGGTAAGCAATCTGCTAGCAAATCTAAGCAAGCTGAGGGTAACTGGGCCTGCGGTGACCTCACTCACTCGACGAAGCACAACGCAAACGTTGTTTCGCTATGGTCTCCTGCTCGTCGGTGCAAGCATGGCTCTCCCGCACTTGTCTCAGTAAGATACACGTTTTGTATCCGAGATTGCTACAAATTAGATTTTAATGAAATATCGATACCAAAACTGCCTCGGTGGCCGAGTGGTCGCAAGTGCGACTGCCGGGCAAGGGGTCTCGGGTTCGATTCCCGGGTAGGGCAAAGAATTACTGGGTTTTTAAAAAAATTCGGAGTTTGGAATTGTGCCCGGTATATGGCAATAGGCTCACCCCCTATTACATGGGACTCATAACATAAATAGTGAAAAGTGAGTGTTACATTGTACAGTGGCATCTTGTACACCTCTGCCTACCCCTTCAGGGATAAAAGGCGTCATGTTATGTTATCGACACCAAAACAACAAAGTCCAATACTCAATACTTTATCGCAGTCCATAATGTATTGTACAACCGTCGGCATTGTTAGAAGGTACAGAAACAGTTATGGACCCTGTCGGGTACAGCAAGAGTACTTTGTATAGACGAGAGGATGAAGAGCGCTTGTTTAAAGTTGGAAATATTCAATAGGGGAAGACAATGTCAAGGTCCAATACGGGCAATTTCGTGTTTGCATTCCCTAGTGGCGAAGCGCGGCGACAGTCGCGTCCGATGACGTATGAGTCGAACGACACGCGCGTGTCGTAACAGTAACTGCAATGACCCCACTTTCCTTCCTCTATCGGTTGGACACAACTTCCTGTACATATTAGGTCAACGGCCGCCTCCTTCGTCGCGTTGTCGCTAGCGAGACATCAAGATCCCGACATACATGTTATGGTAGATATTGTGACTTTCAGTTCTTCGCAAAGCCAGTAAGTAGTAAGGTAATCTGGAGGCAATCTGGTATGGCAATGGGGGCTATCGATGGCGCCAATGTAGCAATAGATATTTTAGTCCAATCACTGCAGCTGTCAAATATTGTACGTCCAATGGTGGGACACTAGCTAATTCCCTATTGGACGAAGAGTGAGAGGTTGACACTAGCGCCATCTAGTGAGCAACAATACAGTAGCCCCCATTACATGGGACACAATATATATCTGGTGGAACGTGGGAGTTCCTGAGTTGAACCTGTGTAATCTTCAAGCAGGAAGGATCGACCAACGAGAGAGAGAGAGAGAGAGAGAGAGAGAGAGAGAGAGTGTAGACGCCCGTTTCTCATGCATGAGAGTGCGGGCTCGAACCCTACCAACAACGGCAAGTATCAATGTGACTTTGTTATAATGTTCTTTCTAAGATTATTTAAACACCACTGACAAACGGCGAAGGAAAACATCGTGAGGAAATCTAGACTTAAAATATCTAATTATCAGTTTGAAATCTTTGGCCAGCACTTATAGGTATTATAAGTATGATGATCCGTCGTCAGTACTTACAGAGTACCTACAATTACGTTCAGTGACTGATCGGAATGTACCCGCAACACCTACTTGATGGAGTAGTTCATAGTCGTGCAGAGTGGCTCATTGGTTACACTAGTGATTGTATGCCCATGTATAGAAGTGCGACTCTCATCGACGCAGCTATATACTTCATATTTCCGCTAATTGTCGCAGTTATCCCTATTATATAACTTTCAGTTTAGACGAAATTCTAAAACGTCACAATTTTAATTGTAGGTATTTAAATAAACGGATAGACTAAGTCCGAATCATTAGCTATCAAGTCGCCATCGACACCGCATCAGTACAATATTTCATTACTCCAAACAGTTCATACACAGCTTGTGTGATTGTTGCAAACAATGGAGCACAAATTAGTTTGGCTGACCGGCTTCGGGCCTTTCGAAGGAGCTGTCGTGAACAGCAGTTGGGTAGGAGTCAAACACATGCCGACGCGGGGCATCAAGAACAAGTACGGAGCTGTTGTGGTGAAACAGCAGCTCCCTGTGAAGTATGGCTTCGTGGACTATCGCGTACCTCGGAAGTGGAGACAATTGCGACCAGATGTAAGTTATTGTAACTTATATTATACTAACTACTACAGCTCCATATAGTACCTAGTAATTATAGATAGACTAATGTACTGTAATGTCTCCAGTTGGCTGTACACGTCGGTGTGTCAGGCGCGGTAGACTGCTTCACGTTGGAATCACAAGCGTACAAGTCCGGCTACATGTACCCGGACGTGGACGCAAGGACTCCCCGCCACGGTGTAAACAGAGCTCCTGGACCAGACGTGCTTCGTACGGCGCTGGACGTTGAGGCTATCTGCAAGGAGTTCAACGAACTCAAGCTGGATGGAGGCTCTCTGGAGGCGACAGTGTCTAGTGATCCTGGCAGGTGGGTTTGACCAAATCTTACTTACTCACTGAGCAGTGAGTACACCTGAGTATATCCAAGTATTGTTTTCCTCGTCAAACAGTTACATTTCTTTGGGAAACAGACGGTGATAGTGTAACTTTGACGACGCAATCTATGCGAGTACAGCTAGCTTCATGTTCCAGATATCTCTGCGGCTACATATACTACACGTCCCTCAGCCACGGCGGCCCTCGGAGCACTCTGTTCGTGCACGTCCCTCCGGACAGGTACACGCGCCACCAGCTCGCTGCCGGACTGAACTACATCGTGCAACTGGCTCTCGCGCAAATATGAACCAACACTATCAGATGTCAAAGTACAGTAGCGGACTGTAAAGTAGATGAATCGCTCAGGGGGCTGCCGCTACTCGGGTTGAGTAGCGAGAGAGAATAGCTGATAGCAGAGTTGGGCGTAATCAACTACTTTTGTAATCGGATTAATAATCTGATTGAAAGTAATCATGATTACATCAATCATGATTACTTTTAATCTTGATTACTTTCAATCATGACTACATTTGTAATCATTAGTTTTGATTACAATAATCAGTAATCTTAATTACATGGGTAGATTTGATTAATTTTTTGAACATATTTTTAATAAATGCGGTTCTATATTCAATCAGTATGTATCTTGTATGTCTGAGTTTTTCTAAAAACTTCTGATCCAATTGGGATGTCATGGATGTTTTGTACTTGATGGAAAATTTTTTACGTATTCAAAATCGGAGTCTACGAACAAAAAGAAAGTGGCAATTTGTACATTTTGTCGGCCAAAACTAGTTAAAATTAGTGGTTTTAATAATTCTACATCAAATTTTGTAACTCATCTCAAACGAAGACACGGGGAAGAAACACACACAACGTGTATCAGAGTTACTTGAAAACTATGAAAAAAAATAAAAGGTCTACTAGAACATCCAACCAACTGCAACCAAATATTAGAGATGGTAGTACTAGTGATGTACCTACTGATCGAACGATTTCACAGGATTTTATTTTTCGAATTCCTAAATGTAGTTAGTATGCATCAATCAAAAAAGTAATCAAAAAAGTAATCAAAATTACGATTACAAACTAATAATCATTAATCACTGATATGATTACTTTCTTGATTAATTTCCGTAATCTGTAATCTTGATTGACGATTACAAAATGTAATCGTAATCCTTAATCATTAATCTGATTACAATTTGCCCAACTCTGGCTGATAGACATGAATGCCTGCTGTACGGTGCAACCGTACACATTTAAAGTCAGCATTTTTACGCATCGTAATTCATTTACCTAATTATTCGATTCAGTTCGTATCGAGCAATCAAGTCCGCCGTGCGTTCTCATAACTCACATTAGCACTCACGCTCATACAGTTCACTCAATCCATTTTACGTTAGTTTATTATTCTACAATACAAATTATTATTCTCAACTATTGACTTTCATTTAAATCAAGAAAAGTGTGTTTAGTCTACCAAGAGACTATACATATTTTTTGGTCCTTCGATAAAGAACTTTAGACGTTGTAGACAATCGTGTTGTGTGACGCGGACTATAACTGTGAAGACTATCCAGTGACTAAAAAGTGTGAGTGTTGTGTCCCCGTACGTTGAAACTACCAAGAGTCTCAACAGCAGCAGATCACCAAGGATCCGTAAGCAGTACATACCAAGGATATTCAAGTAAGATCGTTTCATTTTTCTTACTTTGTATAAGTTTTCATCATGGAGAGCTTACACGCAAACCAAGCTGAGCTGTTTGGGGCTATGAGCAAGCTAGCCACCAACTTCAAAAAGGATTCCGCAGATCGCAAGACTGCGGATTACTTCAAAAGGCGATTGGATACATTGGAGCAATATTGGTCTGACTATCAATACAATCATGACCGTCTCCTGGTGGAGGAAAGCAAGTCCCATCCATATTTTACCAATCGTGACTTCGCACAAGCCGAAGAATTATACAAATCAACCAAATCACTCATCATTCAACACCGTCAAAGCTTGCTGAAAACGATGAAGTCTGAATCGGCTGGAACTTCTGGGCTACAACAAAGACTATCTCAGCAAGGAGATAAAGATCAAGAAACATCAGGTCTTATTAGTTCCGAGCAAGAAGAGCTAGTGGGAAATAATACACAAGTTCAACTTCAGTCCAGGGGTTCATCCAGTAAACTCGATGAAATGCTCAGAAAGCAAGCAAGTAATTTCAGGGCATTTCAGCGCACAGTGTCAGGTATTAATTTAGAAAATGTATCTGAAAAGTGGGTGTTGGAAGATGCTTTGCGATCTCTCCAGGCTCGCTGGTCTACAATAGATTCCTTGCATTGGGAATTAGACAGCGAACTCGAGGGTACTAATGAATCGTACGAAATATCATACACTAAACAAGAAACCATCTACAACGATTTAAAAAAGACCATAAACTGCAAGATCTGGGGTATAAATCACAAAGACAAGTGGACTCCTAAAATGGATATACCCATATTTAATGGCAACTATCAAACCTGGGTGTCATTTAAAGACTTATTTACAGAAGTCATACATAGCAACGTCTCGATATCAAACGCTCAGAAAATGCAATTTCTAAAGAGCAAAGTGCGAGGGGAAGCTGAACGTTTGATACAACACTTACAAATAAGTTCAGAAAACTATTTAACGTGTTGGGAGATACTAAACAATAGATACAACAACACGAGATTGATTTTTACATCTCATGCTAATACTTTGTTGAATCTACCGGTGGCTCAACAGCCATCAGCAAATCATATTAATCTGTCAAACACCAAGCGGTCACCGGTGACCGCGACCTATTGTTCTTTAATTGTGTCTATAAAACGGTACTCGACGAGTTAAAAGGATTCACGATACTGCTTTGGAATGCTTAAATGCAATCAAAAATTTAGGTGTAGACATAGGCAGCTGGGATCCATTGATTGTGCATCTACTTTTACAAAAGTTAGATACTGAATCACATAATCAGTATCTAGAATCACTGGAAAATCCGAGAAATTTACCAAAACTTCAAGATTTTTTAAAGTTTCTTGAGAGCAAATTTACTACGTTGGAGTCGTCCCGAAAGAAATCAGAAAACACAAAAACTTCAAGTATCAGTAAATCTAACAATGGATACGGAAATTCAAGAAATCAATCCAATTACATTTTCAATTCCAAGAAAACTAATTCAACATTACCCAATAATTCAAAAACGTGTCCATTATGCAAAGACTTACATGGAATTTATTATTGCGAAAAATTTTGCACATGTCGCCTCAAGTAAAACGGCAAACAATAACAAAATTGCATTTATGCAAAAACTGCCTTAGTGACCATGGTAATAAACCATGCATTTCAGACAAACGTTGTCGGGAATGCCAAGGTAAACATAATTCACTTTTACATGAAGCATTCGCTAATTCGTCAATTAATTTGGTCAGTGAAACAATGCCAACAGTTCTTGTAACTAGCACACAAGAACAACAAGATTTACAAGAAAATCACGTTCAGCAAGACGCTAACAACGTCATTGAAATACTATTAGCCACAGCAGTTATCAAGGTCCAAGCAAGTGATGGCTCATTTCATAAAATGCGTGCGCTAATAGACCAAGGTTCTCAAGCTTCTCATATCCACAAAAGCGGCGCAGGTCCTAGCTTTACCAAGAAAGCAATGCAAAGGAGTCGTGTTTGGGATTGGAGAGAAGAAGAACAGTTGCAAGGGTGTCATGAACGTAACATGTGGTTCACATTTCAGTACATTTACATTCAACACCGATGTATTAATCATGAATACACTCATAACATATCTACCAAGTCGCACCTTTATCAAGCCAACATGGGCACATTTAGACGGCATTCAATTAGCTGATCCAGATTTTCATATTAGTCGTTCTATCGACATTTTATTAGGGGCGGATGTTTATTCATCTATCATATTGGATGGTATAATCAGAGCAGATCTATCCTTACCCATCGCGCAGCAGACGCGATTGGGATGGATTTTAAGTGGCAGTATCAAGACACTGCATTGTAACATAGTCCTAAATCAAGAGGACGAGATGCAAAAATTCTGGGAGATCGAAGATATCACAGAATCACCCAACCTATCAGCAGAAGACCTACAATGTGTGGAACTTTATAAGAAAACTACAACAAGATTTGAAAATGGATCATATGTAGTAAGATTACCAATGCAAGAAAACTTTGAGAAACAGTTGGGTTCTTCGAAACACAAGGCGATTGCGCAATTTCGTCACTTAGAACGGAAGTTTTACAATAATAAAATAATTGCCGACCAGTATAAATTGTTTATTAAAGAATATCAGATATTAGGACATATGAAACCAACTACTGGTAACGCGAAACCAGAATTTTATTTACCACACCATTGCGTATTGCGCAATGAATCTACTACAACGGCACTTCGTGTAGTTTTCAACGCTTCTTGCAAAACAACGACCGGAAATAGCTTAAATGACCTCATGTTAAAAGGCCCTAACTTGCAACAAGACCTGCAATCGTTATTATTAAAATGGAGACAGTTTCGAATTGCGTTCACTGCAGACATTGAAAAAATGTTCCGTTTTATTTGGGTACATGAGGAAGATCAAATCTTACAAAAAATTATTTGGCGAGAATCATCAGAAATGCCATATCAAGAATTTCAACTTTGCACTGTTACATATGGCACCAAGGCCGCGCCATTTTTGGCTATGATGACAGCTACCCGAAGATGAGCGACAGAATTATAGCACTGAAGCAATCAAGGCGCTAGAACAGTCATTTTACATGGATGATGTTTTACACGGCTCTCATTCCGTCGAATCTGCAATCAATTTACAACAACAATTAATCAAGTTGTTAAAATCTGGAGGATTTAATTTAAGGAAGTGGTCGTCCAACGCACTCGAACTACTGCAAAATGGACTCGGGGAGAACAACAAACAAGAGGATTTTGATTTCAAACAAGTAGAATCAGCAAAAACATTAGGATTACGTTGGAATCCTAAAACAGATCATTTTACATTTTTATCGAAGATTCAAGTACCATCTACTAAGATTCCAACTAAAAGGTCTATGCTATCAGATATTTCCAAGCTGTTTGATCCTCTTGGCTGGCTATCACCACTGTCAACAAAACTTAAATTAATATTCCAAAAGGTGTGGATGTCAAAATTACAATGGGATGACAAGTTGCCCGATGATATTCTTAGAGAATGGATTAACATTAGAAATGAGATGCACAAGATAAACCAATTTAAAATAAATCGATGGTTGGGTACCGGGCAAAATGGTATTGTTGAA